CTCATCGGTTTGGATCTGGTCAACTTCCCTCCTGATCTCCTGAAAGTCGCTGGGAACTCGGGTCCAGGGATGCCAGGTATTATTCAATTGCGACAACTCGTCCTCATGGTAGGTCAAGCCCCACCCTGCGCTGTGGGGGCAGTGGCGCCTTCTTGCGCTGCCACGCTGGCCGCCTCAATTGCCATCATCATCCTCCGGGCGATCTCTGCTCCATCGATGGCTCTCGATGTAGGTGCAGGCGGTTGTCCTCAAGACCAGCCATGTAGTCGATGTATATGGTCCAGCTCGTAGGGCGCTCAGCAGCCGATCTTGTGCTCCGAGAAGCCTCTGGGGCTCTGATTGCGAGCTCTGCTCTATGGCTACCGTGCAGCTCGAGGAAGATGCCCGCATGGCACCCTTTCAAAATTGCGCCCTGTACCCAGATCCGCGTGAGCCTCCCCTCAGACCCGTGGAATGAGGATCCTTGGCTCCGCTACCATGCGGATCTTTGAGCAATCAAGCGGTCTTCGGCGTACACTTCTGAATTTGTGCTATGTCGTTTGACATGTACTGCACCGACACGTTTGTATGATCAGGGTGTGACTGCTTCCATTTGTGTCACGCAAAAAACTTGTAGCGCAAGTTCAATTCAACTCATGTTGTCAAAAATGGTGTAGCTCTAAGGAAATCGTTTCAAAAGCAGTGCCTGCTTGCCCTCCCAGAAGAACTCCTCTCAAATGTTTCAATTCCATGCAAAATGACAGGGTGTTAGTAAAGACAACTGCGCCCAAATGTAACCAAATGTAACCAGTTGTATGCTTCTAAATCGTGTGTGAATGCGCCCACAAGCAGGAATGTACTTTGCTCAGAAGCAGGTATGCAACTTGCTAGCCCATTTATTCAATGTGTCCAATTGAGGTCTTCCTCGGTTTAGCAGGAGGACAAACAGCGCCAGCGGGTTTCCCAAATTAGTTTTTGTTTTGCACGGTGCTTGTTCCCAAGAGATTCTTGCTCGCTTGCCGACCTGTCCATTTCTCCAGTGAACAGTGTCCACGTGTTTGCTCCACAAAACAGTCATATAGTTCGAATTCAACGCAAGGCTAGCGAACTCTGAGGCTTCTGGAGTGGGAGAAGCGTCTAGGAACAAGCCATGGGCGGCGCACTGATGTGCATCATACATGCGCTGGTGGCTGTAGCAACAGGCGAAAGTGTCAAAGTACCGACAAACATGTTGCTGATAGGCGGCTTTGGCAAGTGTGGCACATCACATTTCCACAGAGTCCTGGCCGCTCATCGGAAAGTCTTCTCGCCTTGCGGAAAGAGTTTCAACCACTGCCCGGACAACGCGATATGTTTGAAGAGGTGATATTCTTCTATGCACGAGAACTTGCAAGCGTTGATGTTACCAGCCCGGCGCAAATTCGAGATGCCTGTCGCAAGAATTTCAACGACAAGGAATCCAAACAAGAATGTTTGCGTGCTCTAGCAGGTGGGTTGCCTGCAAAGGTAATTGCTCCAAAGATATTGCTGCTCACACACCTGACATTTCACCAGGACCGTGTTCTGATGGAACGATGGGGTGCGACAGTAAAAGCCATCTACCTTGTGCGAGACCCTGCAGAGTATTTGCGGGCAGCTTTCAACTCTTGGAGAATTGACTTGGACGCAAATTCAGAACAGAAAACGAGTGTTGGCAACTTCTACCGGAGCCCCGAACTTTCTCACGAGTTGCTTCTGGCAGATGGCCTTCTTAAATGGAAGATGGGGTTGAACGTCCAAACGGGTGAGTGGTTCTTTCTTATACAAATACAGGATATTCCGCGTCTGTGAAAGGAATGCTGACAGTGAGTGAACAAACAAGGTCCAGAGTGGAGTCTATGAGCTTTCTGGTTACCGGCCAGTGCTTTGCGAGACCCGGATCTTCATTTACCAGAGCTACAATGCAGTTTGCCAGGTTTTGGCTGCGAGCAGTTTGCCAAGAACTATCATTCAATGTACTCAAACATGTGTTTTATCAAGGCCGGACTCACTCAACGGGTTTCGTGTTTTGGTTGCATGTTGCATTTTGTGGTTTATGTTGTATAAAAGGAACTACTGCAAAAAGATGCTTGTCAAGATCCAAACTCTTGTTGGTCGGTTCCCGTGGCGCGTAAGGATACAACATCACCTACACCGCTTGCCTGTCAACCACTGGCAGGGAAGCATGCGCAGAAGACGGACATCGCGAAAAGAAGTTCATCATCCCGATCTTCAATAGGTGTGACGTGGATTTGACAATGAAGCTTTGCACGGTGCTTTTGATCCTAGCATTGGCAAAGTCAGGACATGTTTGCTTGTTTTGTTGGGTTCCTAAACAAACAGACGTGTGATCGAACCTGTAATAACGGGGTTTAGACAACTCCATTCAAGAGGTGAGTTTTTGTGAGAAAAAGACCGTTTCTCTTAGTTTTGCACAACTCCCTGCGCGCCGAGAGAGAGAGAGAGAGAGAGAAGCTGCGGATGATCCGGATGAGAAAGAAGCCACAGAAATGTCGGTTGCAGAAAACTATTCTTGCACCCCTTATAATACAAGTGGCGCAACGTTGTCGCGCCGTCGAAAATTTCAAGGGCGAAGTTCATGCGCGTATTTGTTTCCATATCAACATAACCACTGAGCCAAGTACGTTGCCATTTTGGTTCTTTTCGCCAAGGCGTAACAAAGAAGGCAGGTAACATGCGCCTTACTTATGTTTGAATGCGCACAACGATTTGCACTTCATGGGTCATGGAAGAAACCAATTTAGAGGTTCAACAAGAGTCAGGCCCACAGAAGAAAAGGCCGCCTCTATTGAACTTGACAATTGCGCCTGCGGTATGGGAATGCCATGTCCGCTGTCTTGCTTTTTCGTGTCTGCAGCCTTTCTATGTTCTCGCGGCCTGGCCAATTACCCGGATTGGTCCATGTCAACTTTTGGCAGGAACGACAGCGTCGCCGTACCAGCAAATTTGTTGCTTGTCGGTGGGTTTTCCAAGTGTGGCACATCACATGTGCACAGGCTGATTGCATCCCATCCATTGGTCTTCGCTTTGCAAAAGGAAGTTGCGCCGCTTCCTGCCATGGAAAGCGCTTTCGAGCAACTGACCTTTTTTTTTGCTAGCGAAATCATGAGTGTAAACCATACTGCTTTGGATCAAGTACGGAAGGCTTGCTACAAGAGCACTCTGAACAAGCGTTTGTTTGAAAATTCAAGTTCGACGCAAGCCGAATGTAATCGATTTTTAGGTTTCAATTCCACGTACAAAGTCTACGTACCACAAAGACCGAGAGAGTTACGGCATCCCAAACTTTTGCTGCTGAGCTGCATCCGCTTTATGGAATACCCAGTGCTGGTGAGACGTTGGGGCACGAGTGTGAGAGCCATTTTCTTGGTGCGAGACCCAGCTGACTATTTGTGGGCCGCGTTCAATTTTTGGACTATCGATCTGGATCCAGGGCCTAGAAATTCAGAGTTGTGGACCAGGGCCTAGAAATTCAGAGTTGTGGACTCATCGGTTTGGATCTGGTCAACTTCCCTCCTGATCTCCTGAAAGT